AAGTAAATAAAGTAAATAAATAAATAAATAAATAAATAAATAAATAAATAAATAAATAAATAAATAAATAAATAAATAAATAAAAAGTTGAGGCAAAACATCAAGGAAAAATGTCGAGGAAAGTTCTCCAAAGGTGTCATCCTGTTGCATGATAATGCCTCGTCACACACTGCAGGTGAAACAATGGCAAAACTGACATCCTTAGGCTTTCCAGTGATGCCCCATCCATGCTGTTCTCCCAATCTGGCTCCTTCTTATAATCTGTTCCCCAAACTCAGAAAACACCTAAAGGGACAATGATATGGGAGCGTTCTGGAGACAACTGATGCTGCAAATGAGTGGTTACACCAGCAGTTGGAAGAATTTTATTTGCAGGGACTTCAGAAGCTGTAGGACAGACCTTAGGCTTTCCAGTGATGCCCCATCCATGCTGTTCTCCCAATCTGGCTCCTTCTTATAATCTGTTCCCCAAACTCAGAAAACACCTAAAGGGACAATGATATGGGAGCGTTCTGGAGACAACTGATGCTGCAAATGAGTGGTTACACCAGCAGTTGGAAGAATTTTATTTGCAGGGACTTCAGAAGCTGTAGGACAGATGTTGCAAGTGCACTGACTTCCTGGTGGAATATGTAGAATAGTGTGGCAGTTACAGCTTCCTAACTCATTTTTTTTTCTGGGAAAGGCTCAATACTTATCAGCACCTCCTCTTATTTTAATGCAGTTCCTTGTATTTCAACAGTAGACGTGTGAGCCTACCGCCACCACCCTTTTGCCAACTGGGCAGAAGGCTGGGGCAAGAGACTAGGTGGCAAAGGTAAGTCTTCTTATGTGAACAATCAAGATGAGAGACCCCTTTCTTCTCTGCCAGGCCTTGTCTGGTGGGCAGCTGGATGGCAGCAGTAGCAGCCATGGCAGAGGCCAAGGACCACACCGACAGAAATAATGGTATTGCGGTGGGTGTGTTTCCCTGTCTGTCAAAAATGGCAGCACTGCTGCCGCTGACACAATCCCCAACTGGATGCAGGCTCTGCATGCCCTGGCTGACTACAGAGAAAGCCCTGCTGCACTTTAAAACAGTGTACATTGAAGGTCATTTTAAACCACAGTAGGGCTTGGATTTGTCATATGGGTTTTGTAGTGGCTATGGCTACACACAAATAAACGTATCTGTCATGTCATATCTGTGGGGTCCTTACACATTTCTGTGGACATACATGTGGATTTGCTGAGTATCCAGTACAGAGAACTATCCATTTTACATTGCTTTCCCTTGAGTGTACACGCACATCAAAAGACAGATACTGATGGAAGCTGGACATGACTAAATCTGTATGGGTGAGTGTAGGTGCCCCAGAAGTGACTCTGTAGAATAGTGTGTGGGGAGAGTCTGACAGTTGTATTTAAAAACAAAACACTTCTCCAAGCTCTGACACCCACACAAACACTTAAAATTGCACTTTTAACTTTGGATACAAAGCATTGTGTGCGGTGTTAATCAGACTCATGGAGGTTTTCTGCATTTGTCCCCACCTACTGCCCCAGGAGTATTCTGAAGGGGAGGGAGCCTCTTAAAAGAAAGAATTTGCTTGCTGAGGACAAAAAGAACATAGAAGACACTCTACAAAAGCTGATGTGGGTGGGTGGGGGAAGAAACCTTCTTCCACCAGCCCAGCTGCACACATCTAGATCGGGAGCCAGTCCAACAAAAATATCTTGCAGCTTCATTAACACTGCAAATGTTCAATGAATCCAGGTTGACAATTGAATCATTTGCTATCACTTAACTGATAACACACTTCAGTTCAATGCTCCATGCTACTCGTTTTTGAAAAATTACCATGGTATGCCTCTGAAAGAAAAGATTATAGAGCAGAATCAATAATCAGATGTCCTCAAATTCCCTTTGAAAATGCATTTCTACCATTGGCTGGGGGGCTGTATTCTCCTTCCCCTCCCCCCCAGATCTGTGCCATCCATGATGCAGTACATTCGTTCAAAATTTAATGGAGGTATGGAATTGTTCAACTCTCAGCCCAATGGCTGAAAGGTCACCACATTCAATGACTTCTAATGTCCATGTCTTTCTAGAAGTCTAACCTAGTCTAACCTAAGCATAGCTGTAAAAATAACTAATGCTGCTCCGATATTGTTGCTGTTCTTCATGAGCGATAAAAGTTAATGTTATTTAAATGCAAAGTCTGCCATCAGAAGAATGATGATACTAATTGAGTTACTAGGAATAACGATGAGGCTTGATACAGATGTTGGGTTAATTAGATTGGATTAACTAGAGATACTTTATCAACCATTAGGATAAGAGCTACATGGAGAATATGAACAATGCTAATTTAAGTGATGGTTTGGGTCAAGCCAGAATATCCCCTCAGCAAGGCACTGAACCCCAGTAACAGAACATTGTTCCCTGGTAGATAATACATTGTTAGAGGTTTCCCACACACAACACTTCCTCCCGTCTTGAGGTGGAACTGTGTTTTATGCCAGTGTCTGGGCATGTACTCATCCACTTCCTTGGGCCTTGCAACTCCTGAGAACTCCCTTTCACTCAAACAGTGTCTGTGAATGCCTGTTATTTCCCACACCTACACTTATCTGCCACAGTGACTATCTATTTAAGAAGTACCACCCAAAGCTTATCTTCCCATTGTGGTATAAGATAATGAAGTTTATTAAAAACCTCAGACTGTTGAGTATATATCTTTCAGCTAATGGTTCTAACAAGAGCAGGAACTTGTAGCCCTTCAGAAGTTAACTGGACTGCAACTCCCAGTGACTGCAGCCAGCACAGGCAATGATGAGGCATCTTGGGAGTGACAGTGGAATCTGGAATGCCACCATTGCCCAACTTGAGTTTTAACAAAACACAACAGAAAAAAAATGACCAGGCAGTAAGCAAAAAAGTTCCTACAAAGGAGCTCTACAGAGTAAGAACAGTATAGTACAAGCAGATACTCAGGCCTGCAATGAGTTCATGAAGTCCACGGTAGTCATGTGCATTGTGGCTACCATTTGATAAACGTAAGCACATTTAAAATTATATATAGGTCTCTACTGACACAAATTAATTGGCCAAAATGTATTTAGAATTGTCAAAAGGATACATTGACTGGGAAAGCAAGGAATGGTAGCCATCAGATTGGGGCTAGGTTTAGTCCTGCACAACAGTTTTGGTAGATCTACAGTGGTGCCTCGTTAGACGATGATAATCTGTTCTACTGAAATCGCTGTTTAGTGAAATAATTGTCTAGTGAAAAGCATTTCCCCATTGGAATGCATTGAAACCTGTTTAATGCGTTCCAATGGGGAAGAATCGTCGTTGTCTAGCAAAGATCGGCCATAGGAAAGCCGCTTTGCGAACTGCCAATCAGCTGTTTAAATTGCTGTCTTGTGAAGCTTAGGTCCCAAAAACACCTGTTGTGCGAGCGTGGAGGGAGCTGTCAAAATCATCGTCTAGCAAAAATTGGTTTGCGAAGCAGGGACCAAACATTGTCCAGTGTAATTTTGCGAATTGCTATAGCGATCGCAAAAAGTCGATGTCTAGTGAAAAAACTGTCATGCGGGGTAACTGTCTAGCGAGGCACCATTCCTTCCACAGGAATCCACTGACGGTGCATCCAGGAGTCAGCTCAATGGTTGTAATGGCAGACGATTAAGCATGCATTCCATTGCCACACCAGAATCACTGGGCACTCAGTGGGAACAAATTAAGCTATTTTACAGTGAGTCAGACCATTGGCCAATCTAAAGGTTTGCAAAAAGCTCAAACTACAACCACCATCCCATATTTCATATACTAAGGGTTGAACTTTGGACTTTTGCCACTGGGCTACAGGCCTGAGTATAGTATTTTGCTTTTGGCCGAATTGTCCTTATTGTATATGTATTTTAAGCATTTCTGAATACAGACCAAAACGGTGTAGCAGAAGAGAGATGACTGGTAATCCCCCTACAATCTTGGATGATGCCAATGTATTGTCTACTTTAGGGGATCAACAAAACTATTAATGCCGTGCCAAGTTTTATCTTTGCCAAAATAGTCTCATTTTTTTTCCATGCACCATTTTGTTAAAAATACAAGTACAGCTTTCAAACATTCAGAGTAGCTAACATAACCTTTTAGATTGTTCCCTCTTATGCTGCTTCTGAAGCACGGTAATCAACATTTCAATAATTCATTTCCACTACTAGAACAATTTTGAGTGATGCTTTTTATTTCTTTTTGCTTCTTCTCAGCAAGAGAACAGGGATTGTTTTGAAACCCTCTGATACCGGATGCAATTTATTCATTACTATTCAATAAACAACCCCATAATATCTATTTGAACTGTAATTTATTTCCTTTTTTGCAATTTTCATTCTAGTTGTTTTTGTATGTCTCCTAGCATGCATTAATCAATGATAAGTTCTGAAGCATGCACTTGATCTTGTAGTTCCAAAATGGGAAAGCTGTGACATCTGAGAACCTATCTCATTAAGACAGATGAAAATTATCGCCAGGGATATGAAAACCACTTTGGATTTTCTCCTTCAGTAACTTCTAAATATTTGTTTGTGGTGCTCAAAAAGGGAAATGCTCATTTATAGATGTAGGGGCCAGAAACACTGACATTTATCGGAGCTATAGAACCATGGTAAGATTCAAATACCTCACAGATATAATGAGTATTAATTGCCAAAAAGCTGCATAGTTTTAGAAAAGGCTTTTAAACACCCAATAATAGCCAGATACAAAGATCCAGTAGTAAGTCATAACTAAGGCAGGCCCACAGAATCAGTGGAAATTTGATAAATCGACACCTATATATGTTCCATTGATTCAGTGGGACTACTCTAGTTGTGACTTTCTGCTGTCACCCATTTAAGTGGTGCTGAGGAGTATATCCCATAGAGGCCATGGCGGAAGATGCTGGCAGCTTCTTCCTCTAGATGCCCACCATAAGCTTGGAAATCTAGGACCAAAATGCTATTGCTTAGCATAAACCAAATTGCAACTTTGGGTCTGTTTCTCCATGGTAAACAAAGAGTCAGTGCGCCAATTCTTGGGAGGTGAGGCACATAGAAGACAATTTGTTTACAAGGGAGGAACAGATCCAAAGTTACAATTTGGCTTGCACTAAGCAACAGACTTTAGCCTAAATGTGTTCATCTTAGATGCCCATCTTCCAAAACCCGTGTCATCCATCATGCTGCATAATATGCTTGCTGAAATTAATGATCAACATTCTGATTTCTTCTGGGATGAAAAATCTAACAGCATTTTCCTCAGCCCTAACCAAAGACTTTTGGTAATGCAGAATTCACCCTGAGGTAGAATGTGATGTGTTTTGTTCATTCAGATGTTACTAAGCTGGAGACTATAAATTCTGAAATGCTTCAGTGTAACATTTGTTGGGACAGGAAAATGTTTAACATAATTTTTCCAAGTAGACTTTTAATCCTCTACTGGGAAAGGCTTACCAGGGCTGTCCCAAGACAGTCTCCTGCCTGAATTGAGGCTGTAAGTGGTGCCACATATCCACACAAGCCAAAGTACACAGCATCTAAAAAATATAGCAGCCAGTTGGGTTATATTGACATGTTTGGCAGAGAATCTAACAAGTGTTCTGTACACTAACAATAGTAATAATAAAATAATAGCAAATCAAACAACTGTTTCCTGCCCCTTCATGACTCCTCAAATCTGCTATCTCAGTCTACCTAATGATAGAGCCGGCCTTAAGTTGTGCAATCACTTTGTTCACATGGGATGGACATAGCTAGCTTAAAACATACCTTGTGATTACATACGGTGCAAAACAAAGTACAAAAGTGCCAATAAATGTACTGATCTTCTTGGTTGCTCGTTGTCTCCGCCTCTTCTGTTCTTCTAGACATCTCTCTCTTACACTGTGTAGCATTCCACATAAATAAGAAAATAAAATATCACTTTAAATGACATTGCATCACATTTACTTATCTGTTCCATTATGTGTGTTTAGAGGAGAGGAGGCATTCCCTTCACACAGAGTGTTGCTGCTAGGTCTTCAGCTAGCAGGTCCTTTGAGAAATTGTTATGCAACAACAACATTCATTTTGTGACAGCTTGTATCAGATTCTAGCCACAGCAGGAGAAGTAGAAGTCCTGTAAGTCCACGTAAGTTTGCCTGCCATTCTGAGAGCTATCTTTTATTATTTCTACAGACGTGTGTGGTGGTGGTGGGGACAGAGAGAAGAAATGAGGATGGCAAGTGCTGCAAATCGGCATGCAAATGCCTATCAGATTCTGAGAGGATGCGGTGTCTTTTGCTGAGGGATTCAATGCATGCTTCAGGGCTGAATAGTCTCAAATGTAGGAAACGGCACACCCCATAGATGTGAAGCAAAGAATCAGATGTGTCAAATCATAAAAACACAAAGGCTACAACCCAATTCAGAGTTGTCAATTTAAGACCATTGATTTCAAGACTTCAGTAGACCATGGTCTAACATCACAAGTGTGATTCTATAGCAAAGTCATGATGTTTCTCTTTATACTGTTTAGTATCCGAACAATAAAGTTTCTCCTGAAATGAAAAGATGAATCAAACTACAATGCTGGCAGTTGGGGCGGGGGGGACAGGAGCCATATTTAGGTAGTCAACAAAAGGGATAATGTTAACCCAAGACTAGAGGAAGCAGGTTAAGACCCCACTCCACCACACATCCTAGCTCTGGTGTGTGGAGAACACCTGTTCATTCTGTCTTTATTAGCACAGCTGGATATAATTTATAGGTACTGCAGCCCTTTCTGAAGGGATGAAGTGTTACACATTTCTGACACATAGTTGTAGGAATTTTAAGCAAGTGGTGTGTGTTTTTGTTTAAAGGGATTCCACTATTGCTTTGTGGGCAAGTTAGCACACAATTAAGAGATGATTGTAAAAAAATTAATCACAATGGCTACACTGGTTAGAGAGGTATGATAAATTAACAATTTTGGGCTTTGTTTTCTGATCACAATTTCCATCAAAATAACAGAAATGGTAAAGTTGATTGGGCACAGATCAATGTAGCATTTCAGCAAAAGCAAGAAGATTTGGATGTCCAGCTTTTTCTAAGCAAGCACTACCACATTGGTTCCTATGCTAAACCCTTCCAGTCCTGGCCAAAGAGAAAGATGTCTGGGGACAGTCACTGCATGAACTCTCACCTGATCAGAGATACAGGTGGATGGGAATTTCTCAAAGTGATTCTGATATACTGTACACTTTTAGCCTGTCCATTGCAAAACGATTGTGAATGGAGAGTCCTAGTTTCCTTCATTTAACACTTGAATTGCCACTCAAACTCTCCTCCTTTCCTATTTCCCTAGTTTGCTTGGTGTTTTCCTTTCAGGTAAAGCTTGAAGAAGGTTCATGTATCTACCAACTTTGGTTTGGCCTTTGAATTCAGGGCAAACAACCCTCAGACTCTCAGTTCCAAATCATCAGGAAAAGCACAGGTTGCTTTGGACCACTTCATAGAACACCTTATTCACTTCAGAAGAAGTCCAAATGTAGGCTGCGTTGACGGTTTGTCTACAGTGGACGTACACCTCTATTACTGACCTGCCAAGTTCAATTGAGTCAATACCTAGCTTTAAGGGGGTGAATTCTGGTAGGGCCATGATCTATGCAGAAATTGCAAAATATCCCATTCCTGCATGCCATACTGTGACTCATACTCTATTCTTGATCTACCCTGCATGAGCTATTTAAATAATAAAAACTGTGCACAAGAAATACCCTCATGCATGCCATGCTACTTTATATTTTGGCCTTAACATCAAATAATTACAGACTGACAAAGACTCAGTGTTGAAGGTGTGAGAGCATAACTGATCTGAACTATCTGGTGGCCTGCTGAAATCTTCACTTGATATTAGATATGGGCATGAATTTTAAAACATTGCAAAATTAATTGAAAATTGCTAATTCATCAATTTGTATTCATTAGAAGTTATGGCCTCAACAAATACAAATCAATGAATTTTTAGTTTTTTTTAATATGTTGGGCCATAAAATGCCCTCCCCCAAGGCACCTAGAGACACCAAAATTGCAGAGAATGTTTCCCTGACTCTCCTCTACAATCCCTCTGTGTTTGGTGAAGATTCAGTTTTCCTCAAGCCAGCTACTAAAGGGCACTTTCTCGTGAGGATCCACTTTGTAGGTATATAACTTGGGTGTCCAAAACACAATTTTCACCAACTTGGAAGGATTGTAGAGGAGAGTAAGGGAAAGCTTCCCTGTTATTTTGGTGTCTCTAGATGCCTGGGGAGAGCCATTTTATAGGGTTTTAAAGGCAAAATGAATCAACAAACAAATTTGTAGATTTATCAGAAAAAAATCATAAATTCATTGTTCATGATTCATTAACCTTGATGAATCACTAATCAAAACGAATCTCTATTTTTCCAGTTCATGCCCATTTCTACTTGAAACCCTCCTCTCTCAGTCACTAGCAGACAGCAAAATCTGCATGTTTATAAAATTCCTCTTGGGCTGTTGTACGTAACTGATGAGGCTGATTTACACAGGATTGATGTCAGAACAGAACTGGCTCCTGAATGGTGCACAAAACATTTTAAATATATGCATAACTCTTGCACATACTGTGCAATCCAAACACAGTACAACAACATTTTTTTTAAAAAAAGCTGTTTCATGTATTTGTTTATAATTGCTGGATACAATGTCACAATGCCCGGCTTTGTTCTTTTGGGATTTCCTGCTCTTTCCAGAACCATGAAGGCAAACTCAAAGGGCCAAAAACCCACAGTGAAAATTGCATGACAAACCCTGCGCCCACATTGCTGCGTTTGGTGTAGAAATGCTAAATATACATGGCATGTCATTTGCCTGAGGTGCTCCAGAGCTGAGCCAATTCTGGGCTGTTTTCAGTGATGTGAAAGGCCATTAGGATCTTAAAATAGCCAGGATGTCCTGATAAAACACTTTGCTGAAATCAGTGCTATTTCTGTACACAGACTAGAAAGTAGCCAGAGAGAAACAAGTATTTTCTTCCAGGTTCCCTTTGACATTTAAATATGTTTAATAGCATTCCTGTTTTCACCTGCACTGTCACTCATCTTGAGCCAGTCATTCCTCAGGGTGTGATGTTAATAATGGATGTCTACCTGTGAGCAGCCCTATCCAGTTCTGAAAGAATTCTGATTTGGCTTGTTGGCAGATAGCAGGAAATTATTATTGCCTTCCTGTGCAGTATCTAGGGCCAAAATCTTGGCTTCTCTGAGTAAAACAAGAATGTTGTCATGATTGGTGCTATGTTTTCCCCAAAATAAGACAGGGTCTTATATTAATTTTTGCTTGAAAAATGCATTAGGGCTTATTTTCAGGGGATGTTTTATTCTTTTCATGTACAACAATCTATGTTTATTCAAATACAGTCATATCTTCTGGTTGCTGCACAGTGGTGGAGGGTGGGGTTTCACTTAACTGGGGCTTATTTTGGGGGTAGGGCTTATATTACGAGCATCATGAAAAATCATACTAGGGCTTATTTTTGGGTTAGGTCTTATTTTTGGGGAAACAGGGTAGTATGGTAAAATGTATGCATTTCTGTGGTGGGAAACACTTACTGTTCTAAAGTCATCCTCAATGCAAGATATAACGTAATGGGCTGTGAATAAAGCTGCCTGGACAGAGCTGGATATTGCTTTTGTTGTTGTATATTATAAAAGATACAATAGCTCAAATAATCAACCTTTGCTTGAAGAATTGGCAAAATAGACCTTTATGATCAAAGTTGCGAATCCTGCGAATATATTCAAACCTAACTTGTTATACCATGCAAGATTGTCAGATGGTTCTGAGTGAGCTACATATCTGTTCCTCTCTGTCTCATCCCCCAAGTCCTCAACCTTGCTTTGCTAAGCATAGATGTAAATCTTCATTATTTTTGTCTTTGTGGATGAGGACAAGGAATTGTGACTGTCTTCACCAAAAGGCCCGTGTGAACATATTTGCTACTCTTGAATCCATCCACACATTTGTGGGGAATATTTTTTTTGTGTGCCAAAAGTGTGCAAAAGCTGAACCGTAGGTCCTTAGATTCATGGAATTAAAGACTTAGGTGGGACTGTTTGTCCTAAAATAAACAAAAATGAAGATAATAAATTTTAGAATGCCAAATTTTAAGTATTTGTTCTATTTAGCTAACCTATTTCAGCCAGCTGTATTCTCTGGGTCTTCCTTAGGCACTAGAGGATAAAACAGAAAATACATTTTAAAACTGTTAGATAGTAAGTAGGAAAGTATGTAGCAGAAACCAGAACAATAAAAATAAAATGCAAACTGCCCTAATAATAAATATTAATGTGCCATCATGTCAGTTTTAAATGATGGTGACCTTTTTGGGGTTTTCCAGCTGGAGAACACTTAGAAGTGGTTTACCATTTCCTTCTTCTGAGGGCAACCTGGGACTGTGCAACTTGCCCAAGGCCACACAGGCTGGATATTTTCTCAGGAGGCATAGTGGGGAATCAAACCCCCAACCTCTAGCTCCACACCCAGGTACCAAAATCACGGAGCTATCCCTAGAGCCTACAAAGATTACTCGCAATTTAGAAAAAAAATATCTCTGTCACAGTTGAAGAATTTGAAGCGCTAGGTGGGTTGTGTGCATGATTCATAAAAATCAGCCAGCCCTTCTGAGCTAGCTTTGCTTTTCAAAGGGAAAGGACAATAATTTATCCTTTTCTTTTCTTTCCCAGATTTGTAGACCCTAACAATAACAAACATCTATCTTTTTATATTGGTCTTTTTTGGAGGCAAGGAATGGAGCTTTCAAAATCCTAATCAAGGTATCTGGTCCAATGAGGATTGCCAAAATCAATGGAGATGAGGAATTTAGTAAGTATTCTTCACGT